ACACAGCCATGACTTCTAGTTAAATTCAGTGTGGCTAAAATGAAAAGCTTTGTTAAAATATGCAAGCACGCGAAAGTCAAATTCAGCTTTATTGTCAAAAATTCTACATGTGTTATACATCCAGAAATATCGTTTCCCACAGTGTGACATGTATACATAAAACAAAAAGGGCCTAGATAAACGTGGTATACATTAAACAAAATGGGCCTAGATAACCGGGGTATACAGTTTAAAATGTTAATATATTTAAAGTGTTCAAAGTGCAGCTTCAGTGCAAGTCAGTTGAAACGATCTTAAGTTGGCGTGACGTTGAAGTCGTGCGACCCTGCTGCTGTACTGGCTTGTAGTTCATTTATAGCATAACGTTAGCATTTCGCTTTTGGCGACTAGATTTATGATTCAAAAATTATAAAAGTAGGGTTGACATGTGGAGATTATCCGGCTGAACAAAACGTGATCCCTCTCTTAAATGTGTGTCAACCACAGACCTTATTTCGAGCTATTTTCCTAAATCCTATGGAGAATTTGCATTGGTTTTTCGCGAAGGAACCGGAAGAAGTTTACTTCCGGGTTTTACGACGCGTCACTGCGGTTCTCTATAGGGCTTCTGTAAAATAATTATCTTTACTTTATAACTGCATAGTGGAAAGATAAAACATAACTTAAAGGAGGACCCATCAGCTCAACACATGTTTGTATCGTCATCAACACTACAGGGGTAATAATCTCTGTCAGGAGTGGGATTTGAACCCGCGCTGTCAGAAAACTTGTCCATGTTAGTGATTGATCAAATGTTGCTAACCCCGCCCTTTTCACGTGAAAACGCTCATAACCGGACAGAGAAACCCAGACTGATAACCAGCATTATCAACTACAAGCGTTGATAACCAGTTTAGCGACTTCACGTTTGTTAGGGTTAGTTAACCCAGATAATTCAAACATATCCAGGGTCTGTTGAACTGGCTTTGTGAAAGGTTGTAGGTTTCGAAAAAACTGGTCTGAATGATCTAGGATTAATACACCCTAAAATACTACCGCCCACGACCCTGAGATTAAGAGTCTCATGCTCTACCGACTGAGCTAGCCGGGCTCGCATCTAAGCTAGAATACGCCATGCCGTTTCTTACTCTGAACATAGTCTATCGAGCCCAGAAAACACCATGTTTGTTGAGGAGGGTAACGTTTAAAACCAAAGACATATTGGACACCCTACATCAATGTGGTTTCCTATGTTGTCATGATTTTGCTCTGTCTGTGCTACGAATTCATGTCCAAGGGCCCTTTTTTTTATTACACAAAAACCAAAGAATAGGTACCGGTATCGCTTAATGAAAGGGCTGTGACCTGCAGGTAAACATCACTGTCAGAAGTGGGATTTGAACCCACGCCTCCATGTGGAGACCAGAAGTCCCTTTTTACTCAGGAAGGAGTCAACCTTGAGTCTGGCGCCTTAGACCACTCGGCCATCCTGACATAAAACCAATATCTCTGCCTAAAGTTTACCATGTCTTTTAAAAACTAAACTAAAAGTTTACAGACTCATTGGTGACTTAGATAAAAAACAACCATTGAGCTATTCATCATAGATTTTATTGTAAGGGTTTTCTGTTCAGTAGGAAGGGTCGGTTGCTTTATGCATGCAAACGAAGGGGAAAAAAGTTTTTTCTTAGGAAAGCCACAACAAACCTAGGCGACCTTGTTGTGGCATCCATCTGAGGGTGAGCTAGCTTCGTTCACTTTAACCCGAATAAAGCCAGCCTGAAAGTGAAGGGCTCAAGGTTTCGAAACAACTGATCCAAACAAGCTTGGGGTAAATACACCCTGAAAGACCTCTGCTCACCGTGGCGACAGAGTAACCTGCAGGTAAAACACTGTCAGAGGTGGGATTGGAACCCACGCCTCCACGTGGAGACCAGAAGTCCGTTTGCTCAGGAAGGAGCCAGTCCTTGAATCTGGCACCTTAGACTGCTCGGCCATCCTGACAACTACAGTAAAAACCCATTAGTGAAAGAAGTAACTCTATGCACAATAAAGTTTATCTATGAACATCTACCCAACTATACCGGATAGAGAATGCCTGGAAAGATGGATTGATGAAGAGACAGATATGTGAAGGGTGGATGGATAGATGGATGGAGGATGGAGGAGGGGGGTTAGACGTCTTTGATCCTCCCAGCAGAAATAATCAACAAAGCCCTGGAGCAGGCCAGCTAGACCTTAATACGAGCGTGTGTGTATTTGGTGTGTGTGTACCGTGGGGTTTTCTGGCTGCATGCCAGGACCAGCTCCCACCAGGAGAGAGATCAAAGACTGTTTCTCTTTCCCTCTCACTATCTACCTCTCTCCCTCATATTTTTCACACTCCTCCCTCCTCCTTCCTCGCTCTCGTACATGAAAACTCTCATTACTGCTTTTCTTGATTTCTTCAACGTTCTCTCACTTTTTTATTTCACCTGAGGGCAGGGAGATGAGAACAGTTTCCTATATGCAAAACACAAATGAAAACAGAAATAGTTTGTGGCACTGATTTGGAAGTAAAACACACACGCACATACGTACGTACGCACGCACGCACGCACGCACGCACGCACCCACACACACACACACACACACCTACACACACACACACCTACACTCACACACACACACACACACACACACACACACACACACACACACACACACACACACACATAAACAGGTCAGTAATGTGTCAGATAGTCAAAAATACAGAAAAAGGAAAAGTACATGTTCACCGGCCGTATCATTTATATAAAGTGAAATAAGAGTTTTATAAGTATTGGTATTAGCTACTTTCATTTGCAATCTAAAAATATTGATTTAACAACATTTGAATTTTCATCTCACATTAATGCATTTAATTAAGTGGTGGTAATAGATTATATACTTTTTTTTATTCGGTAGCATAAGGGCCTGAAACACTTAATTTAAAAGGAACTTTCCCATTTTACACTTACATCACATCTGCAGCAACGAAGTGCTTATAATAAAACAGTGTTCAACTAAATTGCGTCTATCATCTCGCAGCCCCTCCTCCATTGGAGCTCTTGAACGTTCTCCTGGATATTGCTCGCTCTGCGTTGTTGCTGATCTGGGAATTGAAGCTCATTTGCACTCCGTGTATGTCGTTCTGCATAACAACATCGGCTAAATGTCTAAACATGTAAATGTAATTGTGGAGATAATGTTATTTTCCTATTGAGACTGGCAGAATGTTGCTCTCTGTGAGCGGAGCCGGCGCTGCTCGTCATTAAACCGACTCACAGGGGCTCCTTCACAAACAACAAGTCAACTTTCTCTGTCTGGATCTTTTATTCATCATTTCATACTGGTGGCAGCTTGCAGATTGGTCATATTTCCTCCTTTCTATCTGTCTGTCATTCTTAGGAATATTCAAATAGGCATCTTAATCCCACTCCCACAATCCCTATCAGTTCCTTCTTTTACCCCCTATACAGCTTTTACTGTTCTCTTTAGCTCTGTCGTTCAGCTCTCCCCATTTCTCTCATCACCCCCATTGCTCCCTCTTTCTCTCCCCCATCTTTCCCCTCTTTTTGCCTCCCTCTCTGCCATGTTTCTCTCCCTCACACACACACACACACACACACACACACACACACACACACACACACACACACACACACACACACACACACACACACGCGCATACAAATTGTGAAACAGAGATGAAGTAGGGCTTAGACCTCTGACATACTTTCCCTTAGCAGTCACAACATGGCAAAGCCTCATTCACACTTATGCACAGGCACATGCTTAATGCTTACACACACAGAAACACACACATATAGAGATGGCCTGCCAGGTCTCTGTTTAGACTAATGCTTCACACCCTGGCCTCACTTATTGGGCCTGGAATCGACAGAGGGGATTAGGGAAAGCAGACACACACATCACTCTCACACTAAGAAATATAGATGTATGTATAGTCCTAAATATATTTTGTAGTACACTGAGCACTCGGTAAAGTATTTACTACAACATGTATAACAGCACATGATTTTAAATAGAGGAAGCACACAAAGTAGATCCAAACACTTGATGGTAGATACACAAAGTATAAAATGAGCTGGCATTAGCAGCGGGGCAGGCATCAGGTCATCTGTTTACCTGTCTGCTCTATAAGTGAGCTTTTTCCATTCCTGCCAGAAGTTATGCTACACACATTAAACACACACAGACGTGTTGATGACTGAGGTATTATGTGGAGTGTTGACATTAACGTGTGTTTCAGGGCGAGTGAGTCACTGTGGGCATTAACAGAGCTGACCTAGTTGAGTTTCAAATCACCTTTCTTCATTGCCCGGCCAAAACTGGACAAAGATACTCACTCAATATTAGCTCATGTGTGTGTGTCCTGTGAGTGTTTCCCCTGCTTGTTTTAGTGCCACGTCACAGTCGGCACAATCAGCCCTGTTTGTTTGTATAGGCGTATTATAGAAACCAGGGGCCAGATATATAAATGATACCTATGAGAAAAAAACATGAATACACCACTTCCTAAACATTAACTTCTATTAATGAGAAATAAATGTGCGGTGGGGAAATCTGCGCCAATTTCTTACTCCTATAATTTCTTTTACATGACAAATTAGTGGTAAGGGGGCTAGAAATAGCCACAGCGGTTACATTTATTATTTTGAATCTTTATGCTTCCCATCGTTTCATTTTTTACTGTACTGTTTCACACATTATCATCCACTTCTGAACCAATATAAACACATAGACCTCCAAAAACTTCCAGTAATATAATAAACAGATGATGTGTTGTGACATTTCCTTTTTTTCATGTGTTGCTTTGTCTGCTAGGCATGTGGCAGGCCTAAATGTAGGGCGGGCCAAGAGTATTGCAGAATGGAGAGAGCAGAATGGTCCCTTCAACAACAGGGAACAACTCAAACTGGTGAAAGGCATGGGGCCCAAAACCTACCAGCAGTGTGCCGGCTTCATCAGAATAAACCTGCAAACACTACACAGGTACACAATTGTGCTACACACTCAAAAGTATTAATGGTGAAATGTATACAACATGTAAAACCATGTAGAGCAGAGATAGGTTCCTCTATGGTGGCGTAAGGAGCAGGAGTTCTTTTCAGAAATAGTTTTCATTATAACATCATTTTTAACTGAAATAGTACTGGATAACATTTAGAAAGTGAATATTGGAGTTGAAAGAGGAATCTCACAGGCCGACGAAATACATGTAAACTGCCTACAGCTAATAGATGCCAATAGAAATGATTGATAACATGTTTTTTATGTAAATTGATGATTTGAAGCCTTTGATGGAAGATGTTTTTTGTTATGATGGCTTTCTCCCTCATAAATTCTCGCTTGTCCAAACAGTGCCAAATCCTCGCCTCACCCTGTACCTGAGAAACCAGCAGCTAAGAAAAGCAAAGGAAAGACTTGCGTCAACATACCGACCTCATTTAACCCCCTGGACCAGACCTGCATTCACCCCGAGTCCTACCACGTGGCAGAGAGGTACAGTACACACACACACACACACACACACACACACACACACACACGCACACACACGCACACACACACTTGAAGGTGCACTCTCAAACACACATACACACACCTGAATCCCACCACCCACCAAACCGATGTAAGATCCAGAGCCAGAATACAGGCTGCTCTTAGTCTAACACTGCTTTCCCTTTCTTCCATCCCTCTTTCATTCCATCATGAATCTTTTTTTGTCACTCATTAAGGGATGCTCCTATATTTGAGTCTGAACTCTGTAGCCCATTGAACCTGTGTGTTGATACGTTTACAAGTCTGTAGTGAGGTTGTTTGAGGTTCTTAACGTGAGTCCTACTGTAGTTGTGTAAACAGCTAGTAAGAAGATAGTTTTCTCTATGGAGGAAAAAAAGTCAACCTCATATTCCTTAAAGGTCTTTTGTCGATAAACAATGAAAAAGTAAAAAAAAAAAGACAAGAACTATCGTCTGTATGAGAGAGGAAGAGTGATGATAGGCTGGATTTAAACCATGGGGGTGATGACCGCTAGGCCACCAAGACACAAGTATTTATTCTCCTGTAAAGAGATATACGCATGGAAAGTTAAGAAGCTTAGGGAGACGCATGAGACCAGATCCTAGTGTTAGACAGTTTGGTCCAAAGGTGCCGTTTCCTCACCACTAAGCCATTTCTGGCACATACTCTGCTACTATTTTGTACCAATGTGGATTTCTGGTGTTGAGGGATTGATTCCGCTTGTCTCCCTTCTTTGGACGCTAGACGTTGGGCCTCTCCACTCACAGCTGTCCCTTACATAGTTTGTACACAAGCTGTGTCCCGTTACATCCGCGCTGTCCCTGCTACTGCCAAACCAGCATTTCTGAACAACATTGTGTATGAATCAACTTGTGTGTGTGTGTGTGTGTGTGTCTGTGGGTTGTAATATGTGTGTGTCCACCTGTTCTGTCCATCATCGGGGGGGGGGAGACAGCTGCGGAGTCTGTTAGGCGTCAGGCTGCCAGTGAGCGACATCCATCACGGATGCTACCCAGCTGGTTCCACACACGCACAGAGGCAAATGCATTCACATCTATCAGCAGTCGTAGAAAGTGCCTACTGTAAATAATATATACAGTACACACAACTCTCACACAGACACACACACATCATGCATTTTTCCCATAATCCCTATTTTCATACTCTGGCTCTCATACAAGTTTATTACTAAGTCTGTTTAATATAAATGATAGCTAATTGGTTTGGATTTAAACTTAAGGCTCAGTGCGTTTTTTAAATGGTGCAACCTGACTGACTGTCTAGACATTTTGGAGGTGGGATATACTGCTCAAAAAATGTGATAGAGGGACTTTTTTTCCAGGCGGTGTACAGATGGACTAACAGTCGTACCTTAGCAAAGTGGAGGCAGTTTCATGAGACAAGGTGACAGGGCGTTTACAGCCCACTGTGGACTTCCCTGATTTAATAGGGGGTAAAATAAATGTGTATTTGTGCGTGCTTTGAGAACAGAAAGCTCCGTCTCAGCAGCTCATGACTGTGTGTGTAATTACTCCAACACCTCTCCCTCCCTCCTTCTTATTCCCCCTCAGCGCCCTCTCACTTTACCTGCATCAGCTTAGCTCGTTGCTCCCTGCTTCCTACGTCTTGGCTTTTCTCATCTTTTGTTTCTCTTCTTTTTGACAGTTATACTTTTCTTCCCTCAACCATTCTCCCTCAGCCTGTCGTCACTTTCCCCCCTACTCACATCCCTTCCTCTTTCCCGCTCTGTTACTCCATCCCTCACGAGCTCAGGTCTCTGCTTCAGTTTGAGAGGGAGGCGGTGCATAAACCCAACTACCACCACTCGCTTAATACAACTCAATTATAAACACTGTCTCTTGCCGGCCACTTCATGAACCTGTGTGTTTTGTAGTTTGAAAAGTTTAAGTTTCACCATCTTTTAACGTTTCATTGACTTTACTTCTATCCAGGTTTCTGTCCCTCGTGGGTGGGAGTGCAGACCAGATCGGGAGTGCAGGCTTGCGACAGTGTGTGGAGAGCAAGGTACGGACCAGCAGTGTGGAGGAACTGGCCAAGACCGTGGACAGCACACCTGAGACCCTCAAACTCATCATCGATGGCCTCGTGCAGCCCCCCGGGTTCGACATAAGACAAAGTAAGACTCCTGCCATTCACCGTCACACTAAAATCAGACTACATAACAAAGTAAATATGCAAACATATCTATAAGAAAAATAAATACAGCATATTCATCCGTAAATTACCCACATTTACACAGATTCAAAAATGGTCTTAGATTTCAGATTGTGGGAGGAATAGAACAAAGTTTACATGAGTTTATGTTCAGTACATACTACAGTTATCGATTTATGGCTAACCAAATCGAGCGAAACCACAGTTAAACCCTTTTTTCTCAGTATTCAAGTCAAACGTTTGGTATTCTGAAAAAACCCATCAGTAAATGTATATAACTGCAACACAGCAGTCACACTAGCGTCTCTCATTGTTCCTTCATAATATCCTTTATTGGTCCCTCCCTACTGACTGGTAGAAAGGTATTTCTTTACTAGTTACAACTCACAGTGACTTTTCCTGTGCCATTATTACAATAAGCATGTCTTGGTATTGTAACCGGATAGAGTCTGGCTTCCTCTCTGTAGCCCAACAGCGGTAGTATGTTTCTGACAGGTTGTGATGGGTCCAGCAGACTGCTGTAGGACACAGTATTTTTACACACACACACACACACACACACACACACACACACACACACACACACACACACACACACACACACACACACACACACACACATATATTCAAGAAAAGTCTGTTTTTCTCATACTCTTGAGTTCAGGCACGCATAAACATGACAATACAACCATAGACAATAATTTCGATTTTTAGCCCAATTTATATTTCCCGAGAATAGTTTGACTGTCTTTGTTCTTTTGGGACTGTTGCACAAATAATGAGTCCCTGTGAACTTTATGGGTCAATGATATAGTTGACTAAAATGCTCAGTTTTTTCCTTTTCATTTACTTTATAAATAAGCAAAGGGCTACTTTGTCTGAGGTTATAAAATATTTAACTACAGCTGCCTTTCAAAATTACAAAACAATAAGTTGCTTCCGCGCCTTTTTATGTACAGAGAAAAAAAAATCCAGCTTGGGTACCCAGTTAGTGCTGGCTAACTCTTTCTAAAATGAAGGAACGCAGCTTCAAGGTTCATTCTCAGGTTGGCCCTATTCGGTTGCAGCGCACTTCGCTTGGCCTCCGAGCCGGTGCTCAGCTGAGTAAACAGATGGGCCGAGGCTACCGCATGAAATCAGTGCTGTAGGGAGGATAATTGGACCGGACTATTTCCTGGGGCGCAAGCCTTCCTTGTTTGTGTTAATGCCACAGAAAGGAAATAGATCTCTCATGAACAGGCCAAGTGGAAAGTGATGTAGATTGAAGTGCTGAAAAATGTGGAAGTATGCAGACACAAGTATTGGGTTGCTGCTCAAAATGAAATATCTGTTTGTCATTTCTGCCCCGCCCCCCTCACTCTCCTG